AATGAAAGATTTCTTTTTTAATAAGATTATTTGAAGATGAATACCATTTAAATAATAATGGAATGATATTTGCAATAATAAATGATTGAATTGTCAATATATTTTGTTGAGAGGATGTTTGACAATTTTTTAATAATAATTTCCAACCAATACAATTAATAAATAACTCTTGTTCTGTTAAATTATGACAAATCATTAAATGAAGAAATTCAAATAATTGTTTTGACTCAATAAATTCTAAAGAAGAAGATACATCATTTTTATATGTAATCAATACTTTAGAAATTACTTTAAATATTAATATAATTAATTCTTTCTTTTCTTCTAAACTTCCTTTACATTTAAAAGTAATAATCATGTACTTTTCAAGAATTTTTTGTTGATAAAAATATTTTCTTATTTCTTCAAATACTCCTGTTGTTTTTAATAATATTTCATACCACTCAAATACTTTCATTAAAACTTGTTTATTTCCACTCCATTCTCTAATGATTAATTCAGTTATTTGTAACGACTGAGAACAAAATTCTGTCAATGAGTTTATTCCAAAATCAATAAGATGTAATCCCTAATTATTAATTTATATTAATTTCATTAAAACACATCTATTTACAACAAACTTTCTCATTGCTTCTGTTTAATGCAATTCCTCTTAATTCTTTTAATAATCCAATAATACAAATACACCCATTATCACTAAAATGTATGATATTTGTAGTGTTTAATACAGAAAGAATTGATTGAATAAGTTCAGCCTCTTTCATATCAGTAAATTCCTCTTCTTTGTTATTTATACCAGAATTTGCAATGATTTTAGTTATTATTTGAAGTAAAACAAGAAAATAAGAGATGTTATTTGTTTTAATACACTGATGAAGTTGTGTTAATAAATATGGTTGGATATTGTTTAAACAAAATTTACAAATGACACCAATTGAATCATAAAAATCATTAATTGTTGTTATGTCATCAGTTTCAATATTGTATTTATTTAAGTCTAATGTTATTAAACCATTAAGTAGAGATTGTACATGAGGAAATATTTTCATTATAATATCACATAATGGTTGTTTAAATGAAGAGTCTAAGGGATAAGAACGTATTGATGTTATTTCAATTAACCTTTTCCAAGAAAGAAGTAAATAATAAATGATAGTAAAATCATTTAATTGAATACATTGAATAGTAAATATACATAATGATTTTAGATAGTCTATTTGATTATCTAACAATGTAAAACATGTTAAGAATTTGTATAACATTCTGACAATATATTTAATATGTTGTATATCTTTGAAACAATAATTATTTAATAGTCGAGAACTTGCTTTAATAAAGTTTGTAACAAAAACTTTTCTTTTTGAAATTGTCATCCTCTTAACTTCACAAAAATTTAAGATAAAATCAAAGATTGAAACATCTTCCCTTTCGTAATAATATTCAAAAGCATTCAGAATTATTTCTTCATTTATAAGATTCCAATACTTGTCATCACTTTCTGCCTCTTTGTTTATTTCAATCAATAACGAAAGTATATTAAATCTAATAATATCATTTCTTCCTTGGCTCAAAAGAGTAGAATAATATGATGTCATAGGAAAGAGTAGTCTAGTTTTAATTTGATAAACACTTTGAAAAGGAAGTGTTTTCTTAAGAAAAAGATTTTGAATTTCACTCAAACATTTCCATATTTCCAAGTCTATTTCATTTCCAAAATAATGTTCTAATAAATTCATCCATACTTCTATATCCATGTGATACCTAATAAATTGTATAATAATGGTAATGCTCTCTAATTTATTTAATAAAGAGCAAACAACTTTGTTATTACAACCCTTTCTCAGTTGAAGTATTTGGAAAAATAATTGATTATCAAAAAGATTAATAACCTCTTTACATTTTATTAACTCTTTTATTAATTCGTTAATTAATATAATACATCCAATAGTTGATCCATTCTTCTCAATGAACAATAACATCATGACAATATCTTCTCTCGAATTAAAAATATTTAATGAAAATGGAACTTCTCTTTCATTTCCTTTAAGTTTATTTAATGATGAGTAAATTATATCCCACTTGTTATTTTGCATGAAATTAATAATTATGTGTCATTTCCTTTTTCTTCAGTTCTACCTTTGAATAACAAAAAATAAATACTTATGTTTTTTGAAAAAAGAGAAAAACAGAAGAAACTATAATTAATAATAAAAGAAACTAATTTAAAGTTAAAAAAAAACAAAAAATAAAAAAAATGAACTTAAAAGACTGAAAAACAAAATAACGATTAATGGAAGCTGAAGAACAAAACAATATTTATGCTAAATATGACAGTCATGTAAATGCAATTAGAGAATATCTCAGAGAGTTATGGAATGAGTTTAGTGGAATAAGAAATAAAAAGATGGAATTGTCTCAAAAATGTTTGTTTTTTTTTATATTTTATGTGAAATGAAGGAATAACAAAATTTATTTTTTAGTAAGTGAGCAAATAGATGAAATTGCTCAACTTCAGATGAGAGTAGAACAATTACTCAGTGAACAAAAAGAAAAACAAGACCAATGGAAAAGATTGGCAACTGAATTATATCTTTTAAAGAAACAAGTCCCAACTCAAATTAAAACAGAACAAGCTAATGATTAATTTCTGAGACTTTGATTGTTGTGTTTCATTTAAATTGTTGCCTAAGTTCTTTTTATTTTAATTTTTATTCGTCTTTTTTGTGTTGGACATTTAGAAGTTTTTATAATAATATGAACTTCATTTCTCTCTTTATTAGTTATTAGAATTATTCTAATTTAATACAACAATAAAACTTTAAATAACTGATTGATTAAATTAAATAGATGTCATTAATTAGACTATCTTTTTTTTATTTTGTATCATGCCATTTCTCTTTCTATTGTATTAATTAAATAATACATCATTCTTGTTAATATGTGATCTAATTTGGTTAGTCATTATTTAAAACTTAAATAGAATATTAATAGTAGTAATTTAGTGTGTATCTATTTAATTGTATAACTTATAATCAAACATGATGATTGTGACGTTGGTTTATTTTATTTATTTAAGTTTTAATTTATTCATTTTTGATGATGGTTTAAATAATATAGATGGTGAATAATACGTTATTTATCTTATGAATATGAAACGAATAGAAATGATACTTGTAATATTTATAGAATGAAGGAAAAATATCATCAACCATGCCAATAACCCAACCATATTTTTTATAATAATAGTTATTAGATAAATAATACAATAAAAATAATTCTAAAGAATATTGTATGATAAATTAATTCATCTTTTTAAAAAGATGGATTATTCAATAGGAAAATTAAACAGTATGTATAATAAAGAATGTCTAGACAAAGAGTAAAACGAGAAATAAAATAGTATTACTAAATTAATAAACCAGAAAAGATTATTTAATGAATTGAGACACAAATTTAACCTACCAGAAAAAGAAAAGATTAAAGAATAAATAGGATAATTGATTAATATGGCGTTGTTTTGAAGAAAATAATATCTATAAACGAAAAGATGAAGTGGAAGATATAAATGACTATCAAATAAAAAGAAGACACTAACTAAAAATATGGTTATTACAACAGTTATTAATATTATTATTCTAATTATCTATTAAAAACATCTACATAAAAACAAAACTATAAAGTATTTAAATTAACTGAATTTAATACTGTTTTATTATAATTCTCCAAACTGTATTATGATAATAAACCATGTAATTCTATTTGTCAATATGAACTATAACCATTGTTTTTAAATAAATGAAAGAAAATTTAAAGGCAATAATTTAATGTATTAAAATGTTCAGATAATTAAGTACCAATAGTACTTTAAACAACAATTACCTAATATGTAATCAACAGTGAAATAAAGAGAAAAATGTTTAATACAAATATAAAAAAGTAAATTAATACTTATAATATCATTTCTAATCATACCAACACTGAAAAAATGGAGTTAGTCTTAGGAATAAACCAATTACAGAGTGTAACTTGTGATTGGTATATTCCTATTCATTCAAAATATAAAAATCTTGTTCATCAGGCACAAACAATGGGTGTTATTCCACAAAATCTCTTGGCTTTACCAAGTAATAGTTTGATGGCATCAATTATTTTGACATATTACAATAAGGAAGAAAGTGAGAAACTAGATTTGATTGGTGTGGATTGGAGGGATGAGGATGAAAAGAAGATTAAACCAATGGAAGAAGAAAACAAAGTGTTGGAAAACAAAAATGAAGTTCCAGTTCAAAAAATACAAGACATGAAAGACAACGTTCAAATACCTACTGAATCACTACCTCAAACAAAACAAAGTCACTCTCATGATACTCTTTTAAATTATGAAAATGACACTATTATTCTTATAGATGAAGATAAGCCAAGCACTGAGATTATCCAAATAT